GTAAAGATTTACACCCTTGGAAACTCTGTACAGGGTCGCTTTGAGTCGGAACCGACTCCACAGCACATAACAACAACAACAACATATGTTAAGTATTGTTCTTTACATATTAGCTCTGTTAATCCACATATGGAGTCCTGGTGTGGCGTTGCAGGATTATGCACTGGACTGCAAAGTCAGTTTGAGCTGCAAGTTCAGCAGTTCAAACCCACCAGCCGCTCCTCAGAAACCCTATACAGGGTCACTGTGTTGGAACCGACTCCACAGCACTTAACAACATCAATTTTCATATCAACCTCATGAAGTAAATGTTACTGTTTGTATTGTGAGCCTAATAAAGTCATCAGCTGGTAAGTGGCAGAGCCAGTACTTGAATTATGAAAATCTGGCTTTAAAGGCTGTACTCTAACTGGTTGATAACCAATTAGTTCCATCTGATCCATAAGCATATTAACTATTGGCAAGATGTAATCTTATACTCATATTTTCCATTTTGCTAGTGTGTTTTTCCTTTGCTTCCTCAATTTTACCCACCCTCCAAGATTCTGTATTCTTTTCTCCATACTCACACATTTAACATAGTTGCATATAAGAAGTGTTTTGGGTCATGGTTTGTTTTACAAAAATGAGAACAAACTATTCTACAAGCACTTCTCTGCAATTTGCTTTTCTCCCAGGCATACACAATAGATCTCTTTTCCAGGGGGAAATAGAGATAACTTATGTTTTAAAAATACTTGATGCCACTCCATAGTTTGGATGTAACACAACTTACTCAACTACTCTCTTCTGGTGACAAATCAGCTGGAAAATCAATCCTAAAAATCACCGCCTTGAATTCTATTCTAAGAGCAAGGTTACCCTGAACTCATTTCAGTCTTGAAATTAGTTTACATTTCTTGGGCAGAGAACTTCACATACATTGTCTTTTAATTTTATACCAGCCCTATGATTTAGGCTGTATAGTCCCCATTTGGCAGATGAGTCTGAGAATTAATAAATAAGTTGCTTTAAGTCACATAGCCATAAAGTAGGTGGGACCAAAGCTCCCGCTCTAACCTGTTTTATAGGTACATGAATTCCAAAAAGGGCAGTCCCTAGAATTATCTGTTGTAGTTGCTAAGTGCCTTCAAGTTGGTTCTGACTCACAAAGAACCCCCATCGGCTTTCTACAGAGCAGCTTTGAACCAAGGACCCTGAGGTTAGCAGTACAGTGCTTATCCTTAAGCGCCACACCAGGACTCCAAGAAACACAGAAGCTCAGCCTAAAAGAATGAACATATCTTCGCTCCAGAAACAATCACTAGGGCCCTGGACCTTTCCAGACGCTCAGCAGGGATTTGAGAGCATGTAGCATAGTGGCTATGAATCGGGCTGTGACAGCAAGATCAACAGTTCGACGCTACCAGCTGCTCCGCGGGAGAAAGATGGGGCTTTCTGCTCCCCTAAATATTTACAGCCTCGGAAACCCTGTTCAGGGTCGTTATGGGTCGGAACCGACTCGACGGCATTTAACAACAACAACACCCTCTCAAATCTACACTTCAGTCCAAAAACAACTTCCTGCTGAAAACTTGACCCTTGAGAAGATGCCTAGTGAATGGGGGCATTTTCTCAGAGATGCAGTTGAAACGCACACGATTTGGTAGAATTCGTACTTACAGAAGCGAAGATTAACTAGAGGAAGCAGAAAACGGAAGGGCAAAAACAGAGACACAATTACATTTACTGCAACACAATCAGAAAGCATCTAGACACGAAATGACTCCTCCATCCCTAGCGGCTCCCATACCAGCGTGAAGACGGACGCTTACCTGCAGACCTCCAAACTTTTTTTTGCCTTCAATTATTTCTAACTCCTTGCAGAACGCTACCACGTGTCCAGCTTGTAGGATTCTCAGCCCCCTAAACCACCGCCTAAGTAGAGCCAATCAGAGGGGAGTGCGTCATCACTGGGCGCCAGTAAAAGGCTAAAGGAACATCACTGCGAGCATTAATGGCCCGGAGGCCCGAGGAATGCTGCCGTTGCCATAGGTAACTGAGTTAACGCGTTCCACCTGCGCAAAACCTCCTGGGAGTGGTGGTTCGATCGAGCCCGACAACAGGCCTTCGGTGCGGGAAGAGGAACTACAACTCCCAGTGTGACCTCGAAAGAAGCCGACTATAAAGAAACGGTTATTGCAGTTTTGGTCGAGATCCGGCTCTGAGTCAGGAAAATGCTGCTGACGCCCCAAGAAAGGTCCACCTCAAAGAAAAGGACTGGACTGAATGGCTGGAAACGGTTCACAAGAAAACCGAGTCCCAAGGTGATCCTTCTTTGGAGCTCTAGGCTCTGTCCGGCCGCAGACTAACCGTGGCCCCGCCTACGCTTCCTGTCTCTTTCCCTAAGGGGGATCCTTACCTAGGCCGCCCCTGCCTGCATTTCCCAGAGTGAAGGGGTGTTAGGAGCTTCGGATTATGGGTTGTTGGTGGGCTGTACCAAGGAAGGACTGATTCCATCTTAACACTCTTCTCAAACTACGGAGGTCGAGTAGTCCCCAACCATGTGAAGGGCATTAACTCGTCCCTACACTCTCCCACTTCCATATAATTTTAGAAAAATTTTTATTCGTTTCTTTAAAAAAAAAAAAAATTATTTTATGTTTTCCATATCACTGGGAACTGATCTTCATTCGATCTTCATTAAATCCTCTACCTCATATTCTTCATTTTACAGTTTTACAAATAGGATCTAAAATGAACCCAAGAAACAAGTGGATATTGAATACTTCATTTGTTTTAGATGGGAATTTCTGAATTCAACCAACATTTTTTAAAAATTTATTTTCTTCGTATTTTTTTTTTTTTATCTCTTTAGATGCTTGAAGCATACGTAAGTGACATGTGTAAAGTCATTATGTACTTTCCACACAAACTTTTTATAACAGCCACAAAAAATAAATGTCTTAACTGTAAGTGGTAGTTAGGTGCGTGGAGACTCATAGTGACCCTGCAAAGGGTTTCCGAGGCTATAAATCTTTCACGGGAGCAGAAAGTTCTCCGGCTGAACCGCAGGTAGTTTCGAACTGCCGACCTTGAGGTGAGCAGCCTTACGCATAACCACTACACTACCACAGCTCTTTTTAAATGTAACTGAGAGTACCAAAATGGAAAGGCCGAATGACTACTTTCACCAGCTGTTTCACCAGTAAGTTAGGTTTTTCTAAAACAAAAACACACCTGTAGACATGTGTTCTTTCTGAGGCAGGCCAGCAATTGTTCTTGAAATTTATTCTAAATATATTGTTGTTGTTAAATGCCTTCAGTTGGATTCGGAGAATCCGCTTGAATCACCGACCTTGTGGTTCAAACCAACCTTGGAGTCCCATCACATTAACATGCAGAACCACACCAGGATGTTGTTGTGTAGTGCCTAAATAATGCTCAATACACACTCCACTTGATGATGATCATCTTATCCTATAGAGACTTGGAAACCAAGCTTGCTCCTGTTATTATAAGTTACATAATGGGTTGGACCTGAAATAGTTTATCAATATATACTTGATGAAAGATAAATTTTGGGACAATTTCCTAGAACTTTAAAATGAAGGATTTTCATTGTTTCCATTTTGTTTCTGCCTATAATATTAGAAGGTTTTTAAAAAAGGCTTCTTGAAGTGCTCAGTTGTTTTTTTTTTAGAAGGATCAGTTCTTTCTTTGTTTCGGTGACAAAATTGTTCAGCAATACAGCTGCATTAATTAGTGTCTGTACTTTGTAGGTGAAGTGTTATGTAAGTGAAATAAGGTATTACACCTTTTACACTTTCATCTGTCAGTATGCTAGTTTGTATATTTCCTTAAAAACCGACCTGCATTACTAGCAAAGCAAATGCTTCTATTTGTTAAATGACAAGTGACTATTAAGGGAGAGTTCTGCAAGCATCAGGCAGTTGTAAAGTGAAGACAAGAGATGTCCTAATAGTATGATTTCTCATTTCAGATTGATATCTGACTGATATGGGTAAAACTTACTTGATTTCTATTTTATTTTTGTTTTGTAAGATAGGAAAAGTAGAATTGGTCACCCCTTACCTCCACTCCCCTAGTTCTTATTGGACCAAACAATATTCCTGATTGAGGTAAGGTAAGAAAACTTATTGCTACATGTTACTCCTGTTAAGAGGAGCCTAAGAAGTGGATAAGCACAGGACTGCTAATCATAAGGTCAGTGGTTCAAACCCACCAGCTGCTCTTTGGAAACCCTATACAGGGTTGCCATGAGTCAGGTTGGCAGTTCAAATCAACCCAGTGACTCCATGGGATAAAAACCTGGTGATCTGCTTTGGTGAAGATTCACCCAAGAAAACACTGTGAGACAGTTCTACTCTTTCACGTGGCGTCACTATGAATATAAATCTATTTCACCACAACAACAACAAGGAAGCCATACCTATCTCCAAGAAGATTTGCTTCCGACACTTGGATAGCAAAACCAAAAATCAAACCCATGGCTGTTGAGTTGGTTCCAATTCATAGTGATCCTCTAGGACAGAGTAGAACTGCCTCATAGGGTTTCCAAGGCTGTGTCATAGGGTTTTCTACAGCGTCACACCAGTGCCTAGCGGGGTGCTGTAGAATAAGTACTCAACCATAGGTCAGTTTGAACAGCAAGGTCCACGCTTCAAACTCATCAGCAGCTCTTTGGAGACTCCTTACAGGGTCAATATGAATCAGAAGTGACAAGACAGCGCTTAACAACAACAAATCTTTACAGAAGCAGACTGCCACATCTTTCTCCTACAGAACAGCTAGTGGTTTTGAACTTCTAACTTTTTGGATGACTTGATTAATTAATCAGTATTTGAGTGGATTTTCATGAGGATATCATAGCTAGTGTTTCTTTGTTCTAACCCTGAAAATACTGATGACTCAGTCCTACCCCAATTTAATGAGAATCTCTGAAAGTATAACCCAAACAAGGGATAAAAACAGTCTATGTCCCAGAGAAGCTTATTGATCCTTCATACTGTTCTGTGTTCTTTTGCTGAACTTTCTAATGAATGCTGAAGGGAAAGAATAGAGGGTACATTTTTATATGCTTTAGAAGGATGCTTTAAAATGGTGAGGTTAATTGAGATAATGTATATTAATGCTCTTATATTCTATTACCTGCAGCCTACCTTTGACCCTGACAATGTGGAACAGTGGATGAAGGTAAGGGCTTTTTAAGATTAAGATAGAAAAATAATGAGAGTAAGACATAACCAGATGGTAAAGGAATACGAATAGTTCTCTATTTTAGACATACTGTGCAATTTTTATTCTCATGTGACTATTTTTATCACCTTTTTATACTTGGTAGTATTTTTTTTTTCATTCTGTTCCTTGAAATATATGAAATTATATGTAAGAATGGAAAGAAAAGGAGTATAGATAAGAAAAGACATAGAAATTTTTACTGTCATGAGGATCCAATGAAGAAGGATTAAAGGACCAGGGAAAGAGAAGCTTTGAGAGAGGATGTTGTGATCTCCCTGAGATATTTGAAAAACTGTACTGTGGTTACATTGATTGACCGGAGGACCTGTAGATAGAAGCTACATGGTCATCATACAAGGATAAGTAAAAAAGTAAAGTTGCAAAATCATAGAAACCTTTATTACACAACATTTCCAAAATGTGAAGCCGGTACTTCTGAGCATAGCTTCCATCTAGGTCTATACACATCTGAAGTCTCTATTTCCATCTCCATGACCCTTTCCTGTTGAATTTACATCATGTCAAAATGGTCATTTTGACATCATCAAGGGGCTCATATCATGTTCCTTTTAAATGTTCTTGAGTTTTGGGAACAAAAATAAGTTTGAAGGGACAATATCAGGGCTATAGATTAGATGGGGTAAGGTTTCCCAATGAAATTCTGAGAGGACAGCCCTTGCTACCTTCAAAGAACGAGCAGGTGCATTATCATGATGGAAAAGAATTCCTTGGCACAACTTTTCTGGCCTTTTTCTCACCAATGAAGTTTTCTATTGTCTTAAAATTCTTCCTAATAAGCCCCCATGGTCATTTTGTAGATTTCAAGAAACTCTATCAAGATTACCCCTTTGGAATTCCCCCAAAAACCTTTTAAGATGACCTTTGCTTGTTAACTTACCCAACAAATTCCCTTGGAAGCCACTGTTTTGATTGGACCTTGCACTCTAGATTATATTGGTAAATCCGAGACTTGCCCTTGTTACAATATGTTACATAAAATTATCTTTATTAGCTTCTTTCTTGCTTAAAATATGGATGGAAAAATCGTTTCTTTGAACTAGCTGATCTTTGTACAGTGCTTTTGACACTGAGCAAGCCAGAAGCTTGTTTAGGCCAAGATGTTCACTTAAAATTGAAAATGCTGAGCCATGTGAAATCCCAACTTCAGTAGCTGTCATATCAATGGCAATGCTACAATCTTCATACACCAGTTTCTGGACATCAGCCACAGTTTCTTAAATCATCCAAGTTGATGGTCTTCCCTCAGCTCATCTCTGAGGTCTTCTTAAAATGCTTCTCCATATATAAACTGTTGTTTTATGTGGGCAGCATTACAATGAATTCGTTGCAAAGCGTCCATAGTTTGGGAAGGTATCCACTTCAATTTTATTATAAAATTTGATAGTAGCCCTGACCTCAAAAAAACAAAATTTTTCCCCCTGTGGCACAAAAAATTACCCCAGTGAGACTGAGACAGTGAGAGAACCTGTCTGCAGCCATCCACTAATCAAAGACATGTTTAAACATGGTTTGTGTGGAATAAACTCTTGTATGTGTGAACTGGAGCCCTAGTAGCAATACTTTTGACCTACCCTCATAAGTAAAAAAAATTAATGACTAGATTTATCCTAATATGGAGAGGATGTTCTTTTTAAAAGAAAAGTTTTCCAATACTGGAGGTACTGAAGTTAAGAGTCTGTCTGAGCATTCAGTGAGGGTGAAATTGGGTTGAGGTCTGAGATCTCTTTCAGGCCTGAAATGTAGGAGGGTGCTTCATACAGTTCATGGAAAATTTCATCATCTTTTAACTCCATTTTTCATTGAATTTTTGAAACCCCCTTGTATATTTTTGAGTCTTAAGTGCCATTAAATTAAATGTACCATTAACACCATTTAAGGTGCTTGCCTTTGAGTGTCTAATTGATACCTCGCCATACTCAATTCATTTGTGTGCCACATGTTGCAAAATCTTGCAACTTTTTCCTGGGAATAATATTCTGCCTCATACTACTTTAAAGATTTATTATCTAAATTGACATGCATCACAAGCACCAACCAGACTGAATCAAGTCCATATAGGATCATTTTTAGCCATTCAGCCATTTATTTTATTAAGTTCCTACTAAATATTAGCCAGGACTCCTGGTGTGGCACTGTGGGTTAATGTGCTGGACTGCAAAGTCGGTTTGAACCTCAAGGTTGGTGGTTCAAGCTCACCAGATGCTCCTCAGAAACCGTATACAGGGTTGCTATGCATCGAAACCGACTTGACGGCGCTTAACAACAACAAACAAATACTAGCCAACTGTGTTGGGCATTGGAGACAAAACAGTGTACAGAGCAGGTATAGTCTCTGCCCTCTATAGTGTATAGTCCAGAAGGGAAGAAACAATTTACTTAAAGCTGATTAAGAGACATAATAGAAGTAGATGGTTGGGGTGGGGGGTGGGTGAAGGCACTAATTTAGCTGAGGCCTAGCCACGCCTGTTATCTGAGATGTCTCTTAGTGGGTGGGTTTGAATTGTCAACCTTTCAGCTAGTAGTAAAATGCTTAACCACTTACACCACCCAAAAATTTTTTCCAATTTAGTGTTGCTGCTATTGGATGCCACTGAGTCAATTCCAATTCATAGTGACCTGTGTACAACAGAATAAAACCCTGTCCAACCTTGCACCATGCTCACAATTACTATGTGTGAGCCCATTGTTGCAGTCACTGTGTCAGTCCGTCTTACTGGACTCTCTGCTTTAGTAAGTATGATGTCCTCCAGGGATTGGTCCTTCCTGATCACATGTCCAAAGTACATGAGTCTTGCTACCTGTCATATAAGGTGCATTCTGACTATACTTCTTTCAAGACAGTTGTGTTCAATCTTGACAGTCCATGGTATATTCAATGTGCGTTTGAATTATGGTGTTGAAGAAGAATGTTTAAAGCAGAACAAACAAATCTGTGTTGGATGAAGTACAGCCAGAATGCTCCTTAGACAGCAGAGTGGCCAGACTTGTCTCTCATACTTTGAACATATGATCAGGAGGCATCATCAGTCCCTGGAAAAGGACATCATGCTTGATAAAGTAGAAAGTCAGTGGAAGATCCTCAATTAGATAGATTGACACAGTGACAGCAGCATCGGGCTCAATTGCAACAATGATTCTGGGGATGGCGCAGGACCAGGCAGTTTCAATCTGTTGTGCATAATAAGGTCACTATGAACAGACTCGACGGCACCTAATAACAACAAGAACAACTCTTGAACATTGACCAGATCTTTTTGTACATGGACTATGTGCATACCTTCCATCTTGTTTTGTAAAATTCTTTCAGCTTGTAAAATTCCAAATGTTTCCTTTTCTTTTGATATTCTAACTTCATTTCTTTACACATTTCATTGTAATACTTTCCTCTGTCTTCTTGAGCTGTCCTTTGAAATTTTCTGTTCAGCTATTTTACATGATCATTTCTTCTAGCTACGACATGACATCTTCTGTATGTTCAAGAGAAAGTTTCAGAATCCTTTCACACATCCATTTTGGTCCCTTTTTTCATGTCTTTCAAATTACCATTTGCTTTCTTGTATGGTGTCCTTGATTTCATCTTACAGCTTCTCTGGTCTTCTGTCATTAATGCTCAAATGCCAAATGTATTCAAGAGATGGTCTGTAGATTCATGTAGGATATACTCAGGGTGCTATTTTAGGTCTCATGGACTTGTTTTAATTTTCTGCACTAGTAGTAGTAGTAGAGGGAGTGGAAGAAGGATATGGATAGGAGGTTGATGTTAGAGAGTAGGTTATCAAAGTTTGGTTTGAACATTGTAAATTCTGCATGACCTGTGAGTGGGCTGCTGAAATGAAATGGAGGGGAAGGCTGTTGAAATGCAGGAAATCAAGAAACTCTAAGTTGTGACTCATCCTCATGGATGCTGAAATCACTTAGAATCTGGCAGAAATTGGAATAAAACTGTAAACTGTAGGCAGGTCTTTGCAAATCCAACAGTTTATCATGATTTATAACTCATCCTTCCCTTGATTTGATAGACTATCTCATTACCCCAAAGTATTCTTCTACTTTATTGAGCTTTCTAAAAATCATTTTCATTGTGTCACTTTTGTGCTTGTGAACTTACAGTGATTCTGTGTGCCATCAGATATTGTTGTTAAATACCATCAAGTCAGTTCCAACTCATAGGGACCCTGTATAAGGTTTCTGAGGAGCAGCTGGTGAATTTGAACCACTGACCTTGTGATTCAAACTGACCTTGGGGTCCAGTGCATTATCCCACAGTAGAAACTCCCTAAATTCCTGATTGGCATTAAAGGACCCCTCTCTACCTTCAATTTCAATCTACCTGTTATGGTCTCTTTACTGGTACCTGGTGTGACCAAGTGTCTTCCTCTCTTTTAGGTAAGTCTTCCTTTTCCTTTTTCTTTCTAGACCCCCAACATGAAATATGTCTTCTCTCTGAAACAAATCTAGAACTTTCTCTTACAGCTCAACTTGAGATGGCTTTCCTCAGTGTACAACCACCTCACCCTCCTGGACTACCTAATCTCATCACTTAATGCTCTTTCCAAGGGAGAAAGATGGGCTTTCTATTCCCATAAAGATTTACAACCTCGTAAACCCTGTGAGTCAGAACCAAATTGATAGCACACAACCAGCACCAATAATACTCTTTTCCTTGAAATTATTTTGGCATTTATACATTATGATACAGCATCAAGCGCAGAGGATTGAAAGTGATTTGGATACTTTCAAAAATATATTGCTCAAAAAACTGGTATATGCACAAGCAGTATGCACATGGGAGTATATCAAGACACTTGTGTTTCTTCATGGCTTTCAAGAAATGAAGAAGTGCTTTGTAGCCACCATATCTGCTGTCCTTGGTTGTCTTGGTTACCCAGGGCCACCATAATAAAAAAAATACCACAAAGTGGTTGACTTTGAAG